GCTTATGTGCTGAGGAATCGAACCCAGGGCCTCATGCATGCAAGACAAGTGTTCTACCACTGAGCCACCTTCCCAGCCCCAGAAGGCTGTATTTTAATAGCTCTCTGGGTTGACTGGGGATCTCAGGCAGTCTTTCCTTGTACCTGGGAAGAAGCAGAGGCCCAGGGAGGTAGTCATGGCTGGTGGCAGAACCTCTTCCCAGAGCTCAGGCCATGTGTGTGTGTGCATGGATGGGTGTATGTGTGTGCATGGGTGTGAGTACATATGTAGGTATGTGTGGGTGAGGGTGTATGTGTATGCCTGTGTAAACATGCAAGTGCATGCATGTGTGTTAGTATGTACATGCATGTTAGTATGTGCTGGTGGGTGTAAGTGTGTACAGATGTGTCTGGTGGTTTGTGACGGTGTGCAGACATTCTTAAGTGTGATCATGTGTGTAGGCATGTATGAGGGTGCCTGTGTTTGCCTATGTGCAAGTGTGTGTGTGTGCATGCATGTTAGAGACTGTGTGTGTGAGTGTTATGGGACCTGGCTGAGTTATGAGAGCCTTGTGGCTGAAGTCTAGCCTTTCCTTAGATAGCGGTGGGACACCTGTGCAGTGAGTGACCACTGTCAAAGACAATGGTGTGTGGTGAACACACAGTCCACCTCAGTACTAACCTTGTATACTGGTGGTCAGGTACTGAAGCCAGGGCTGGGTCAATGCTTGGTGAGGAAGACCTAGGGGATTCTGAGCATGGCTGGAGATGATACCACAAGGCCACAGCTTAGCAGTGGCCATGACTTCTGTATAGCTCCCACTCAGGACCACAAAACAACTTGGAAATGGTGAAGTGCTTGTTGAAGAGTGGGTGCACAGTGGACTGCAGAGGCTGGGATACTGGAGAAGAGTCTGAGCCTATTCCTGAGGCTGAGGGAGGCAAGGAGGGACTCATACTGACTTCTAGGAGCTTGGCTTGGGGGTTGCAGTGGTGCTCCTCAGGGAGGGAGGACCACATGGGAACTTCTGGGAGGAGGGCCCGGGAGGTTTGGAACCAGAGAGAGGAGAGAGGTGTCAGGAAGAGATGGAGATGAGGAAAAGGGAGGCAGGAGGAGGAGCACTGGCTGAGCTGGGATGAGGCAGGTGTGACTGTCATGTGGAAGATATGCAAAGGCCAGCATTAGCGGGTACCTGCTCAGTGCAAGGGCCCTGCCAGGTTTTGAGCCTTAGACAAGAGGACAAGAACCCTGTGGGCTAGTTTAGGGTACAAGTGCTTGTGAGTAGGGGAGAAATTTCAGGGTTTCCTCTTATTCCAGTATATGCTCTTGGGGGGAATGGGAGACAAGGACACTGTGGCCAGAGGACCATTCTAGCTGTGGATTTGGGGCAACTGCCTGCAGTGGTTGGGATGGCTGGGGTGGCTCTCAGGTTGGAGCTCCACCTTGCATGCCCCAGGGCTGGTGGGACTAAGGGGGTAGTTTGGCCTTAGCTGTGGGAAGCTGCTCCTAGGCGGGAGGCCCGTCCTGTGACCCACCAAACCTCAGCCTCCAGGAAAGAGGCTAAAAATAAGGCTGTGGTGAAAAAGAAAAAAAAAGGGAGGGTTGTGTGTGCACCCAAGCCAGGGGGAGCCTAGAGGAAAATGTGAGGCGACCGGCTGAGCTGCTGTGACACACGCTTCCCCTGCCAACGGCCTGTGGGATCCTACTCTCCTGTGGCTATGGCTCCTTCCGGGCCCAGGAAAGGGCAAGCAAGCCCCAAAAGGCCCTGATGGAGCTGACCTTGGACCTCTGGGCCTGCAGAAGCTCTGCTCTCTGGGAAGGTTCTTCCTAGCCTCTCCCTGGTGTTCTGGGGCCTTGCACCCAAGACTGGGCAGGGGGTCCAAAGCTTCCTGTATCCGCTGGATTTGAGAGCCCAGAAGTTCCAGGTGTCTTGGATGTTAACTGGACGTGGAAAAATGTTTCTCTGCCTTAATAGGAGCTCTATGTGGCCAAGGAAGAGGCAGAGGCCTGGGGCTGGGCCTGGAAGATCATTGGATAGGGTCACCTACCTGGCTTGTGATGGCATCTAAAGTGGGGGCACAGCCTGGAGATGGTGTCCTCACTTCTAGGCCAGTGCTGTCTCAGGTGGGGTATCAGAGCTGAGTTGCTGGGAAGGACACGCAACAGGTGTCCACTGCAGATTCTATTGCTTATTTATTGTGTGTGGGCCCCACATTTGGACAAGGAAGCCATGCATATATATGGTGCTCCATGGAGGAACTGGACTTGCTTTTCCTTGTTATTCTCAAACCTGGTTATCAGATCCCACCTCCAGACCCTAATGTGCTGCACAACAAAGTGCTGGCATCTTGGAAACTTGGTTTCTTTTCTTTTTCTTTCTTTCTTTCCTTTTTTTTAAGTAAATAAGAACACTCAGTATTTAAAAATAATAATAATTAGCGCTGGGATGGTGGCTCAGCAGTAGAGTGCTTGCCTTGCATGCATGAAGCCCTGGGTTCGATTTCTCAGCACCACATATGCAGAAAAGACCAGAAGTGGTGCTGTGGCTCAAGTGGTAGAGTGTTAGCCTTGAGTTGACAAGCTGAGGGACAGCGCCCAGGCCCAGATTTCAGGCCCCACAACTGACAAAAAAATATTATTAATAATAATATAATAATAATTTTTGTTTATGTGGTACTGAGGAATCAAGCCCTCCTGCCTCATGCATGCTAACCACTAAGCCATACTCCCAGACCCTCTTTTTCTTTTTTGTGTCAGTACTGGGGTTTGAACTCAGGGCCTGGATGCTATCTGTTAGATTTTCCACTTCAAGGTTGGCACTCTACCACTTGAGCCACAACTCTGCCTCCGGCTTTTTTTGGGAGATAAGAGTCTTATGAATTTTTCTTTCTGGGTTGACTTCAAACCTTGATAGTCAGATTTAGGTCTCTTGAAAAACTAGGATTACAGGTGTGGCCATCAGTGCCTGGCTTAGCCTTGGTTTCTTCATATGTAAAATGGGGGTGATGATCATGACCACCAGCACCCAGAGCAAGGTGGAAATGCAGGCCACTGGGCTTCACTGTGTCCAGAGCTTAGCAGGAAGTGATAGCGGTGAGCCCCAGGAGCTCAGGGTCACACCACTATGTGTCTTCCTAACCCAGTTTGGGACAAATGTTGAACTCAAGGTGAATAAGGAAAGTAGGGCACTGATTTATGAGGTTAGTGTGAGGGAAGAAATCTGGGAAGACCTCTTAGAAGAGGAGGCATTGGAACTAGTTCTGAAAGGAGTGACAGGGATCAGCCTGGCCAGTCAATCAGTGCCAAATAGGAGGGGAAGTATATGTGGAATCAGGGGTGCCTAGGTGGTTTGGGGGCTGGTGGGTGGGATGGAGGGGTGGCATCTGAGACTTGAAGGATTTTGGCACCAGGGAGCTGTAGGTGGCTGTGCCTGAGAGAGGGGCCAGGAGAACAGGCCCACTCCCACCCCAACAAACCAGGAAGTGGGTATGGATTGCTCCCCAGGGCCCCTCCATGTTGCTCTTAGGCACATGTGGGCACCGGCCCGAGGCTGGTTCTGGACAGGGCAGGGACCTACTTGCAGGCTCAGTCCTACTACAGGGAAGAGAAGGAGAGGGGAGGAAGGGAGGGGAGAGGAGGGAAGGGCCTTCACCCTCAAGGCAAGGCCACCACCCCATTAGGTCCTGGTTGTTAAGTCATTAAGTGGATTCACCACACAGCCTCTTCATTAGGGTAATTATGGCAAATGAGATCAGGGCATGAACAGTGAGGAGGCTGCTTCCTTTGGGCTGTCAAGCTGGCAGAACATCAGCCAGGCCTGGACCTGGAGATCACTAGGGTTTGAGAGGGATCTTGACATGTGGCCCTCACCACCCTTCCTTCAGTGTTCCTGCTTCAGCTGCCAGCCAGGCTCTGACCAGTGCTTGGGGACTTCCCTGCTTCCACCTCCCTAGGTGTGGTTAACTCCCGTGCCTCAGTTTCCTTATCTGTCACTAAGGCTAGATGAGGATTAAAGGAACTGAAACCAATCAATGTAAACCACCATCATTTTCATTGCTGCCATAGACACTTGTAGACCTTCAGGAGGCCCAGGGCATGGAGGGCTTCCAAGAACAAGGCACTGTCTCTGCCTTCTTGCTCCCCTGCTCCTTCTCCAGTGGATGTATCAGGGTCTCTAGCCAGAATGGTCTTACTGTCCTCAGAAACTGGCTGAAGGGAAGTCTGGGCTGGCAAGTCTGCACGTCATGCTCACCCCGGAGTCCAGGCTGTGAGCTAGAGGCGGAGGAGTTGGGGATTCTTTGGGTCTCAATGCCACAGCTCTGTCTATCCATCCGTCTAGGTGTCTCACTGTCCCTGTGATGGTCAGGGCCTCATGGGAGCAGACATGTTCAAGAGAACAGCATGGGCATTGACCACTTCCCTCTGCATCCTACCTCCTGCAACTGAGAACTGCTAGTGTGTGTGTGCCTGCACGTGCCTCTGTGTGTGCCTGTGTGTGTGTGCGCGCATGTGGTCAGGGGGAGGCAGGGCTCCATGTGAGTGGCCACAAGCATCCTCTGCCCTCTCCCTGCCAGAGGGCTTCCTCACAGCGGGCAGTCACTATAGCTGCTCTCTGGGCTGTCAGCTTCCTGGCTCCATGATGACAAAGCCCAGGTATCTGGTACCAGATTGCTCAGGTACCAGGATCTCATCCAGGGCTGGTCTACAGATGGGCAGGAGGCCAGACTTGACAGACAGGAGCAGGGGTAGGGGATCACAGGAAAACCTTACCTGGTTCCATACATCAGACCCTTGTAATGGCTGAAGGGTGGGCCCCTGGCCCTAGGATGGGCTTAAGGGCCCTAGTAGAGCAGGAAGGAAGCCTGAGGGCTGAGGGCTGAGGAGTTATATAGATGGGGCCATGCTGGGTTCAGCAAGGTAGGCTGCAGGGCTGGGTTAGGACTGAGGGAACTCTGGGGGAGGGGGTGGTGGGTTCCCAGGTATCAGACAGTGCAATAAGCACCCTTTGTTTTCCCCCTCAGGCGTCCTCCTGGACATCCAACAGCACTTTGGAGTCAAGGATCGTGGCGCGGGCTTGCTGCAGTCAGGTGAGGCCCACTCCCACCCCAACAACAACACTTGCCCAGGTGCTGCTTCTGCTCCTCAGCCCTCAACCTCCACAGGTCTCTCTTCCCTGTCCAGACTCCTAGAGGGTGTTCAGGCAGTGCTTCCAAACCCCACTACCCACCCACAAATAGCACTACTTTTCTGAGCTTTGTCTTCTTTTCCTATAAGTCAAAACTCACAGTCAGGAGCTGGTGGCTCATGACTATAAGCCTAGCTACTTCAGGGAGATTGAGATCTGAGGATCAAAGTCAGCGTGGGCAGGAACTCTTCTCCAATTAACCACTAAAAATGTGAGAAATGGAGCTGTGGCTCAAGTCGTAGAGCACTAGTGTTGAGCAATAAAGCTAAGGAAGGACAGTGCCCAGGTGAGTTTAAGTCCTAGCACACACACACACACACGTGAGTGACATTACAGAACCAGTGCCCAGACCCACCACCAAGCTCAAGAAGGGAGCTCCTTACTTTATTGAGATGAGCAATGCCAACTGAGCTTCAGTGATCCTACTGCCACCACCCTCTGTTCTTTCCATGTCTGTCAATACCAGATGTCACCTCCTAAGTGGCAAGAGGAAGCTCTGCCTGGTCAGTCCCTCGGGGAGCTTGAGAACCTGAGTCTTGTACTCTGTACTGTATTCTGGAGTCTCAGCCTTCCAGTAGGATATTGGGCTGTAGCAACAAGCTGGGGGAGGAGGGGAATGTGGAAGGTCACTGAGAAGTGGCCACACCTCCTCTCTTTCTCTGGGGAAAGACCATGTCTTACTGTCCCTTCCCACCCACCCAGGGCTTGGTCACTCTGTCTGTGGCCATGTGATCACCCAGGTCAACTTGGGGATCACCCAGGTCAACTTGGGCTTAGTAAAGACGCAGTACAGTGTTCACTTTCAGGGCTGGAGGCAGGGCGTCTGGTCTTAGCTTGCCTGAGTCTCTGGGCCCTTGGCTTTAGAGTCCATCTGGCTGTGAGCCGTGGTCAGTCTGATGTGTGGGAGCTCTCTAGTTTATGAACCCTTCTTCTACCTCTGCTGTCCTGGGAGGGAGGGGGGTAGAACCTGCCTGACCTGTCTAGGTGGCATTCCATATGCACAATGCCTCCCTGTGCTCATGGAAGGAATGCAGCAGCCTCTCTACAGCCCCCCCCATCTGTAGATCTCAGATGGGGTCTTTGGGCTTAGAGTGGATATGCAGGCTCAGCGGTCAGTCCTCAGACATAAGTCTTGCTGAACTAGGATAGGACAATGCTGTGTGGTCCATTATCCTCCATGGATGACTAGGTCACCTGTCCTGGCAGATGTCACTTTGTACCAGGCCATGAGCCCAGACCTCTCCCTGCCCCTTCCTGGGCCTCTTTGGCTGGGCTGTTTTGAAAGGTGGGAGGGAGGGCTGGCTGCAAGTGGGGTCCCCAGTCCAGGTATCCTGGGTGCCTCCAGCCTCCTGGCTCTGTACACAGTGACCCCCACTCATTGGAAGGACAGGGTTTCAGCCAGATGGGAACATAGGAGGGAATTGCTGCCCAGCTAGTTAAAAAAAGGCGGGGGGGAGGGGGGGTGGTAAGGGAAGGCTGGCCACTCAGGCCTGCCCCACCAGGCCCCAGAGTCACTGAGAACATGGCAGAGCCTCATTCCTTCTGACAGCTTTACTGAGTGATCTGGAGGGTGGTGCCTGGGCCTCTTTCATTCCCCCCCCCTCCCCCCGGCTTCCTCCTGCTCATGGCAAGCCAGCTGCCTCCAGGGAGAGGGGACATCAGTTCCAGGTTAGGTGTACGGTTCGCATTCTGGTCCCCACTGTGATAGACCTGCAGTGGCTTCTTGGCTTGTGAGGGAGGAGTCATGCAATCCCACCTCTTCCTGGCCACTGTTTCTGGCCACAGCATCAGCCCACTTGATTCCTCCAGCAACCTCCCAGACTCTTTGCTAGCCCCACTTGCTGGAAGACGAAGGTCAAGAGAGGGAAATGACTTGGTAATGTCTCATGGGGAGAGTGGCAGGGGTAGAACCCAGGCCTCTGCATAGCACCTGCAGGGGCTGGCATCTCAGGGTCCCCATAGGGATACCTCTGAGCTATGATGAGCATCCCTAGCATTTTCAAAGCCTGTGCATCCTCACCCCATGGTCCTGACCCCTCCCACCCACCTGTGGCGCATTTTGGATGGCTTCTCCATGTCCTTGCTCCTTCCTTCTGTCATCTGAGCCAAGAACACAGTTGAGCTAAACCAGGAAATGATTCAGTGGGCAACGGGGCAAGTCACCTAATTGGCCTGTGCCGCAGGTACCTGTCTCTTCCCCAAGCCTGATAAGGTCGGAGCCAGGTGCAGGGCGCCAGCCAGGTGTTGGTGCTTGCCCAGATCAAAGGGCCAGGGCTGAGAATGGCTCCTGAGAATCTGTGGGTACTCGGGGCTGCTGGGCTGTGTGTGTGGAGGGGTACATGTGAGTGAGTGAGAGGCCTGGGCCTGCCTTGCATTCTCCCACCGAGACTAGAGTGCAGTTGGTTTGTGAAGGTCCAGACTCCTGTCTGTGCCCCCCCCCCCACACCGCCAGCACCTCTGTGACCACCCACTGCATAATGCCAGCCCCTGGGGCCTCTTTCCATTTGGGAAAGCCCATCCTCCACATCTAAAGTAGCAGCTGCCATTGAGCCTAATGCTTGGCAGGTGCTGGGCTGGGTTCTGCACATGCTCTGTCCCTGCCCTTTAGGTGGAGTCCCTTTGTCAGTGGGAGCAGAAAATGGATCATCCAGTTGCTTTGATACAGCACAGGGCTGTGGGTTCCTGGATGGGTGGCAGAGAGTGTTATACCTAGCTCTGATGGCAGCAGTTGGAGAAGGCTTCTTTGAGGAACTTAGGAGACTTTAAGAATGAGTTACAGCTGGGTGCTGGCAGCTCATATCTGTAATCCTAGCTACTAAGGAGGCTGAGCCATCTGAGGATGGTAGCCAGCCTAGGCAGGAAAGTCCATGAGACTCTTACCTACAGTTAACTACTCAAAAGCCAGAAGTATAGCTGTGGCTCAAATGGTAGAGTGCTGGCCTTGAGTGAAAAAAAAACAAAACTCAGGACAGGCCTTGAGTTCAAGTCCCAGTACCAGCTGGGACAGCGGGGGAGGGGGAGGGAAAGAATGAGTGAGGTCGTTTGTTAAAAGCAAAGACTGCTGGTTAGCTTGTCAGACTGAGTAGATGTGAGAAAATCTCCTCCCTCCCTGCAAGCTAGATAAAATAGGCCAAGGAAACATGTTTAAATTACATAGCTGAACTTGAAAGCAAAAGCTAAAAGGGAGATTGCCAGGTGCCAGGAGCAAAAATTTGGAGTCAAAAGCTGGGGTCATGGTGTTCAGGGATTGGATATTAGTCCTGGACTATAACTAGACACATTTTTGTGGACAATTTTATAAAAGATAATTTTATTGTTATTATTAGGGTTATATACAGAGGGCTTACAGTTTTATAAGTCAGGTAATGAATACATTTCTTTTTTGGATAGTGTCAGCCCTTCCTTTGCTTTCTTCCAGTTTTATGGAATGCTTTAACCACACATGAAAGTAGAATGGTATAACACACTTCCTATGTTTATTTCCCAACTTATCACAGTGTCCTTGGTCTGAGGCATTTTCACTCTGAAGCCTGAGCAGTAAGGCTGGACTCAGTTTCCCCAGCCGAGACAAGCTCCTTGAGCCAAGCTGTTCCTGGGCTGCTGGGTGGCTTTGTTGGTAGAACTTCCTTTCATAGATGGCCATTCCCTCCCTGCTTCTAGTGCTAGCTACTTACAGGTCTGGGATGCCACTCCATTCCCATGGAGGCCATGTGTCTCCAGGGAGGCCAGCCTAATCAAATCCCGGGCTGCTCTTTAGACAAGCCTTCAATGACTCAGAGCCTGCATGGGACATGGTGACAGTTCCCCTAACAAACAAACTCAGATGCAACATTAATAACACACCTAAGCCTGGTGCCAGTGGCTCACACCTATAATCCTAGCTACTTAGAAAGCTGAGCTTTGAGGCTTTCAGTTCAAAGACAGCTCAAGCAGGAAAGTCTGAGAGACTCTTATTTCGAATTAACAAAAACAAACAAACAAACAAAAACAGAAGTAGAGCTGTGGTTCTAGTGGTAAAGTGCCAGCCTTGAGCAAAAAATTCAGGGACAGTGCCCAGGCCCTCAGTTCAAGTCCCAGGATTGGCACACACACACAGAATAGCACACACAGCTGGAGTAGGAGGTAGTTCAGTGGTAGAGGATTTGCCTAGTATAGGATCTGAGTCGGATTCCAAAACTACAACAAAAACAATAAATAAAGTAAATTGGGTGCCAATGGCTCATGACTATAATTCTAACCAGTTAGGAGCTGAGATCTGAGGATTTCAGTTTGAAGGCAGCCTGGAGAGAAAAGTGAGACTATTATCTCCAATTAGCCAGCAAGAAGCTGCAAGTAGAAGTGTAGCTCAAGTGGTAGAGTGCCAGCCTTCAGTGGAAAAGGCAAGGGTGAATGTCTAAGCTCTTGAGTTCAAGTCCTAATACTAGCATACAAAATCAATAAGATAAAATAAAAATAAAGTACATGGGAAACTCGTCATTGTGAGAAGCAATCAGCTGGCCCCAAGAACAACCTGAAAAACTAGAGACTAGATCCTTTCTTTATGTTAATGGGGTTTGAATTCAGAGCCTCTAGCTTTCTAGTCAAGCCTTCTATTTACTACTTGAGCCACAACAATGTCCCTTAAAGGGATTTCCTTCCCCCAATTCTGGGGCTTAAACTCCTAGGCCTGGGCACTGTCTCAGCTTCTTTTGCTAACACTCTATCACTTGAGCCACAGTGCCACTTCCAGCTTTTTCTGTTTATGTGATACTGAGGAATTGAACCCAGGGCTTCATGTGTGCTAGGCAAGCACTCTACCACTAAGCCACATTCCCAGTCCCCTTAAAGGGATTTTAAAATCATATATGCTTAGTTTTTCAAAGCATAGTATTTATAAGACAAAACTAGCACATTACAAAAAGA